CAAACCTACTCATCCACGCTAAACCTACTCATCCACTTTAAAATCCTAACCCAAGATTATATTTAATCCTAACTTTTGTTTGGGAAACAAATGTATAATTCAGTGGGTCTCATAGATTACACAAATAATTTTGTAATAATTTACCATTCTACCCATGATTTTATCCATTCCAATCCAAGTCAATTATATCCTATATTTGGTTAACCCATCCAAGCCTAATAAAATTATACATTTTCCATATTACATAAAAACATATAAAAATAAGGAAATTTAAATATATATATTTTTTTTTGGTATTTTTTTTTCAAAACAAATCTTTTTATTTAACAGAAAAATATTTATTTATTTACAAAAAATGGAGTCATCAATTTCAGTCCAATTCACCAATTCCATATTTTCATCGTCCAGTTCAAGGTTATCAATTTATGCACCAAGACACGTGGTACTCATTTCTTGGCCATTGGAAATGCTTCTCACCAAATGACGGAAGTTATAAAATAAAAGGGGCATTTCACTGATGGAAGGGGCATTCCAAAATACAATAATTTGACACTAATGTAACACGTCAAAACAAAGCATAGGCACATTCCAAAAAAAACAACACTTTCCATTTGGCGTGCTATAAAATGTTAAAACTTCCTGGGAAGGTGCAGTGTGGACACACTCATATACATACATTTCTATGAAAGGAAAACATAAACATGATAAATTAGAGCAGCTGGACTTAGGGTGTAGTGGAGCTTTGAGAAAACCACCGAATAAGGTGGCTACCACCAATCACTGGTTTACACTGTTGGTACTTAATTCATCAAGATGTTTCCTCATACCTACCATAATGGTAAAGAAACTGCCGTTTGTGACTTGCTGCATTTCAGTCTTGGCTTTTTGATATTTCAATTTCTTGAAAACTCCCACAAACAAATATTGATTCAATTAGTTTCTTTCAATTCCACCAAAAAATAAAAATAAAAATAAAACCNGATATTTCAATTTCTTGAAAACTCCCACAAACAAAAATTGGTTGAATTAGGTTCTTTCAATTTCACCTAAAAATAAAAATAAAACCTACATTTCCAATGAATATTGTTTCCTTAGAGACAAAAACATGGGAACTTGAGTTAGGAAATTCCACTGCCATATTTTTCAAGAAAAGCTTATGAGGATCATGCCTTCAAGAATTTGACCATGCCAAACCTGTGCGTGGACCTAATAATAACCAATAAAAAACCACAAATGCTATAACATTCTACTTGGGATAAATCAAAAACCAAATAAGTGTCCACTCCAAGATTTCTGATCTCATAAAACTACATACACAAGGCTGAAACTCCGCATTTGGCTTAAAGTTGATTATCTGACTAAAGACTCTCTGCCTGGTCCCAACTGATGATGATAGGTCTTTGCATTATTATGAGCTGTTGCTTGGTTCGGTATCCAGCCAGGTAAACAATTCAGCTTCCAAAAATGGGATCTCTCCAGATATTCTTATTGTGCGACCCAATGTGGGTATTTATTAGCACCTGGGTATGATATTTTTTTTTTTTAAAGAAAAGAAGGAATTTATTGATTGAAAACCAAAATTACAAGAATCAAAAACAGATACTGTCCTAAGAAGGAATAACTCCTGTTTGAACAGAAAAAACAGTAAAAACTGTTTATACAAGAATCAAAACTGCTATAAACAGAAAATTCCTGTACAACGACTGTAGCAGCTCCTATAGTCCTCTGATCTAGTAACATCTTCTGATCCATACAGCTGCACAGAACCAGCTCCAGCACAGTCAAACAGGCATCATGCAAGAGAAAGTCCCATATCTATTCAGATCAGCTCGCCTGACTACCTGCATGAACCAAACTGGACCTGATATTCCCACCTGCTAAAAGTACCTCTCATAGCACAGCTGCTCCTTTGCTCACAGTTCAGCTCATGAGCCTACTTTAACAGCAGTAAAAACCACTGAACTAGCAAATTTCTGTCCTCACAGAAATCAGTCCACAAAGTGAACCATTCCAAAACCCATAGCAATCCACCACACCTCAGCAACTGAACTCAGAAACAATAGTACTGCAGCCCTTCTACAAATCATCAGGAACTGCAAGCACTCAAGACTGTCTGCCCAAGCACCTGGGTATGATAGGAATTGCTACCTTGGACTTGATAAACACGTTAAACAAAACAAATAAACACCCAAATATGAATTGAAAAAATTACAAAATAGCACTACGGTCTTCCCTAAAACCATTTGAACTAATACTTGAGAATCAGATTCAATCAAATACAACCTTCAGCACAAATTAAGAACATGGCAAACGAATGCCACACACAACATAATTAAACCCACAAATCCAGCATAATAGATAAACCTACACTAAAAACATACAACAATACTAGAGAACCATAGGCACTAAATATGTATTTTAGGACACCTTTTTTTTAAAACATAACATTCGACATTTAAAAAAAAGAAAAAAAAAAAAGGAAAATTCGAGCTTAGATAGGACGTCCTCTTCCTGTGATCTACACGAACAAATCGCTAGGATTTGCATGAAATGGAAGGTCTTCAGAGGTGAATATGGAGCTAAACAATTCCTCTAATTACCAAAAAATCTGTGAGAACGAGTAGTTTATTCTAGTTTTTAGAAAATAAGAAACATCTAAACCATCTAAACTCTCAAATAAAATCAAACAAACTTGTAACCTCTTCCAAATGTGAAATGGGTAGTGGAGATTTTTAGTAAAAGTTCACTTGGGTACCCAGTTCAAGTATGAAACATTTGTTCCTAAGCTTCTACCAAATGTGAAATGGGTATTAGCATATATGTTCCTATCACCCTCTGTTCGTCGCAGATCTGTTAAGATCTAGACCAGTAAAGATCTAAATATGTTTGTAAAACTCAGATCCGGACCTGTTCGTCAAACAGAGGGTGAACGAAAGCAGATCTGATCTTCGGTGTGTGTTCTTTGTTCTGTCTAGAGAGATTGAGAGAGAGAGAGACATAATAATAGAGATAGAGAGAGAGCGATAAGAAACTTACCTCAAGAAGAAGCCTCTGTGCGAACCCTTGGATGAGCTTAGCTAACACAGTAGAAAGGGAGAATCACTGGACAGAACGTGGAGAGGGGGAAAGGGGCAAATACGTCTTGAGGAGGGGTAACCAATTGGCTGGGTTTGTATGGGGGTTAACATTCCATTGTAGCACAGGGTCAAGCGGTGACCCGGTATTTGTAGCCAATCTCAAAAAAGACTTCTCAAACAAAGGTTATATGAGTCCCATTCCTATTTTATCCTATCCAACTAGTAAATAACCACTTTTAACACACTATCCAAACACCTCCATTGGGTCTTGGAGGATACTTTGGCTTCAAAGGACTAAAATACCCCTAAAAATTAAAGTGATTTATAAACAATGATATGAAAATTGTGATAAAATAAACAACAAACCGATATCAACAAAGCAATTGCATCATAGCACAACACGACAATGACAAATATACAGTGACATTAACATCGTGACAAATTGAACATTAAAAATCTAGGATGTGCAATCTCTTGAGACCCCTGATTGTTGCAATTGGCGCCAATGTAACTATTCCACCTAGGAGACTTCCCACTTTCTTTAATTTCCAATTGTTTTATGCTCAAAGGAATGGCCCGTGGTACTTACATCTAGATTGTATATTAATGTTACGTTTGGTTAATAGACATAAGAATAGTTAAAAAATGATGTTCTCTAAGTAAGATTTGCAAAGTAAAAATTGTCTTACTCAAAAATTTCAACATAGTTGTTGTAGAATTTTTCTTGCATAGAAGATATTGATTGTACATCACACTGACATGACCATATTTTCTTGCATAGCAGGTAATGGTTGCATAGTTGTTGTAGAATTTTATCACCAATATGACTTTGACATGACCATATTTTATCCCCCTCCAACCGGGAACGTGGAAAGGTGGCAAGGGAGTACACAAAATTTATAATTTCTCTATGCTGTCAACTCTACCTCACCCTATAGTAACATTATTATAAAATAATATATTAGCATTCTAAATTGATGTTTTAGAATAATTAAATGTAAAGTAGTTAATAAAAATATTAGAAAATTCAAATTTAGAATAATTATCAAAAAAGTTGTCACTGGTGGTTACATAGGTCCCATTGAAGAATTCAACCCGAAAAAACTAATACATTTTTATTAAATAATTTAAAATTAGCAAAAAGTAATATTTAAGGAAGGAAAGCTTCTCAAACTCTGTCTCTCCCCTAATTTAGTTCTTATAATATATAGTATGAATGAAAATTAAAATAGTTGATTCTCGTGGAAGATTTTCAGAAATATATGCTTCTAGATCACATATAACATAATTCTTAGAAAAAATTAAGTTAACATCTGCATTTATTGTGTTCATGGTTTCTAGGTAGTAGTAGTTTTTACTTTTCATATGGCAATGTCAACAATAGCTTTTTTTATTTGATAATTTTTTTTAACAAGAGTGACACCGTAGATTAAGGATTATGTAGGTTTTCGATAATACTCATAACTAGGAATTACTAGATCACCTCAAGGACGCTTGGTCGGGAATACTATGTACAATAATTTCATCATTAACGATAAATAAATAAATAATAAATAAAAAGATCATTCCATTTTGATAAAAGACCCAAACCCTCATTTGGAAGTTGATGTATTAGTTTTTTAATACCAAACCTAAACAAAATTACTCCCACAATATGTAAATTGGAATAATAAAAGTGCTGCAGCTGGAGAATTTCTTGAATGAAGTGTATTAATCACCAATCTACTACTTTTTCTAGACATGCAATACATTTTTGTAAGTTTTCAGTAAAGTTTGATCATCAAGTGCACTAAGAAACACTGGTTTGTGTCTATATAGGAATTGACACAAGTCTTTAGATACAAAACTATGTGAAAGACATTACTCAATATCATATTATAGTTCTACACTGCTGAAGTTACTCTAATTCACAGAAGTTCTTAATCATCGGCCTCCAGAGATAAGGGACTCTGCAACCGAGGGGGTGTAAGAGAAGGCCTTATCCATGGAAGATGAATACGACATGGCAAAATCATCAAACCCGTCACGATGTGCAAACGTTAGGCCGCTGGCAGAAATTCCAAGTGACGATAACTCCGGTAGAAAGATGGCGCCCTCCAAAAACTGTTCAACTTGCCTCATAGTCGGCCGAGCAACAGGTTCTGAGTGTGAGCACAACAACCCAAGCTTCAATACCAACTCCACCTCCTGTGCTACGTAATTGGTGCCCAAATTTGGATCAACTGCCTGAAGAATCTCACCTTTGCTCCAGCACGAAAACACCAAATCAACCAAAATGAGTTCGTGTTCACTTGATGCTCGTGGCTCTATTGGTCGTCTTCCACAAGCAACCTCTAACAAAAAGGCCCCGAAAGCATATACATCGGTGCTTGTGGTGGCTTTGCCGGTTCTGGTATGTTCAGGGGCTACGTACCCCAGAGTTCCTACCACGTGGGTAGTTTGAGGGTCAGTTCCATGATCATACAATCTTGCAAGACCAAAATCACCTAATCTTCCATTCAATTCAGCATCTAACAAGACATTACTAGCCTTGACATCTCTGTGAACCACCACTTGTTCCCACCCTTCATGTAGATACAACAGTCCTGATGCTACACCTTTGACGACTCGAAATCTCTGGCTCCAATTCAGGGTGATGTTAGGTTGGCCGTAGAGGAATTTGTCTAGACTTCCATTGGGCATATAGTCATACACCAGTAGAAGCTCTCCTTTACGCCGACAATAACCCAACAGAGGTACTATATTCCGGTGGCGTAGCCTACCGATACTTACTATTTCAGAAACGAATTCCCTCATCCCCTGTCTTGATTCGTGAGAGACCCTCTTCACAGCAATTTCAATTTTAGAGG